CAAAGACGTTGCACGCCCAGAAGACTGACGGCGTACGCAAGTGAGCAATTTCAGAGTGGCCTTGTACAATGTCATCTTTTGTGCATCGCAGCTGACCAGGTCGTTATGCTCTCCTGCAGATTGGCGGAAGTCGATAACGTCAAAGAAGTGAGGCTAGGCGTCTTGGCCAAAGCCGATCCGCAGACCGCAAAGGGCGTCAAGTGGATCCGCGAGAATCCTGGTGCTTTTCAAGAGAAGGTGTACGAGCCCATCATGCTTGAGCTTTCCGTCAGAGACCCCGAGTCACATGCGGACGCGGTAGAAAGTTGTGTCAATTGGCAAATCCAACGAGTGAGTCGCCTGGCTGGTCGTTCTCGCGGCTTAGCTGACTGTGTTGCCTGCATCATCGCCACTGCTCGCCCATCCCGCAGACCTTTGTCTGCCAAACTCGAGCAGACTACGACTTTTTTACGAGGGAATTGATTGACAAGCAAAAGCTGCGACTCAACGTCGTCGAACTTGAAGGTCAGAAGCAGATGGAAGAGTATCAGCGACCTTGTTCTCAGCAACAGCTCGAGCAACTCGGTTTCCACAGTTTCCTTGTCGACCTTGTCGATGGTCCCGCGCCAATTCTAGCTTATCTCTGCAAAGAATCGCAGCTTCATACTATCGTGAGTGATTGCGGTCCTGGCTCGTGCGCAGCCTGTTGACGCTCTAGGTGCCCCACTGCGATAGCCCGTTGCGGACGATGAGCGACGCGTGAACGCCGAGCAGATCGAGCGAAGCGGCAAGTTTAAGCGCTTCATTGTGGGAAACACGAACCATACTATCCAGCACTCAAATTACGACAAGACTGTGGCGCAAACCTTGTCGCGAGGCATCCGAGCAGCGCGTTCATTTAGCATTTCCGGTGAGTGGTTGTCTCGCGCAGGGCTGGGACCCCATTCGTCCCAGTATGCTGAAAGATTGTGGTTGGCAGCCAATGTGCCCGAGCGACTTCGCCTGGACAAGCTCATGGGAGACATTGCCAACAAGATGTCCAAGAACGAGGCGGAGGCGAGCAAGCTGCAAAAGAGGTCCTCTGCACTCGACAAGCAACTCGAGGGCGTGGAGAAGCGAAAGGTGAGTTTGGCTTCTAACACTTGTCCCGCCCAGACTGCCTAACACGATTGCTTCGATTCGGTAGGCCGAAGTGGAGGAAGCTAGAAACGAGATCGCCGACGCACGATATGTATGGGAAAGGGCAAAAGTCGACTTGGGTGCGTTGCTTGTAGCGAGTCGGATCACGTCTGCACCAGACTCATCACCTTCGCGGGCTCCGCTCGATCCTGCAGAGACTAAACGCCAGGCTCTGAACACTGAGCTTCGCAGGCCTACGGCCCAGGCCGAGCTCGCCAAATTGGATCAAGAGATGAAAAAGACGGTTCAAAGGATGTTGCAAAGGTCGAAAGAGGTCCATGTAGGTATCGGAATCATTGACATTATAATCAGGTTTGGTCACTCGTTGACACTAGCATTGCTCCCACAGGGTCTTGTAATGGCACAAATGAAAGCCCGCGCAGAGATCGATGTCACCATTCTGGAGCAGCTTCAACACGGCGGTCAGATTGTCGCTCTGGAAAATCTGATCACCGAGAATCAGAGGTCTCATCGTGAAGCCAAGAGACTGTTAGATGAAGGTGAGCATGCACGAACAGTCGCGACTGCGTGGCGCTAGGTCAGGCGGCTCATGCAGCCCCTTCTTGCCCTTTCTCAGCCGGAGCTCGTCTAGAGCAGGGCAAGAGGATAGCCATGGACTCGATGAACTACGCTCAGAGGCTGGTGGACGAAGCTGATGCCGAGGTGATAGATGAGGTGCATCGCTTGCAGAGAGAGGTGAGTCTGCTGCAGAGCTCTTTCACCACCGGCTGTGTCGCCCTTGTTCACATCGTGTCTTATTCCTAGGATGACAAATCTGTTGTCGATCTGGAAGACATGCTGGCTAATGAGCAAGCGAAGCTCGATCTTGTCACTGGTGTCAACGAAGGTGTGATCGCTGCGTATCAGGCAAGGAAGCAGCAGGTGAGTCCTGCTGCAGGAGAGCTGCTTGGGTGTGCTTATCGACTCACATTCACTGCTCGCACCACGACAGATCGACCAACTTGAGAAGCAATTGTCCAGCTTGAACGGTCGAAAGGCGAGCAACGATCGCAATTTGAACAAGATTCTCGTGAGTGCGCCGTGCGAATCTCGAGCCTCGTATTCTCACTGATGAACCGCTCGTTCTCTGTACCAGCCTCGTTACGAGACTCATTTGGACAAGCTTATCGAGCGCATCAATGAGAAATTTTCCGCAGCATTTGAACGTGAGCCTGTCCGAATGCCATGACGATGCACAACGTTCTAAGCGCTCATTAAACCCCTTTGCGGCTATGCAGGCATCAACTGCAACGGCGAAGTCAAATTGGAGAGAGAGGAGGACTATGCTAAGTGGGGCATAGTCATTTGGGTGAAATTCAGAGCGACGGAAAAGCTGCAACCATTGACTGGGCAGCGCCAGTCTGGTGGAGTAAGTGCTGATGAGATGCGCTTGAGCTGTTGGCCTTTGCCTGACCAACGTCTGGTCTTTCAACGATCAGGAACGTTCTCTATCCACGATTCTGTACTTGATGAGTCTGACGGAGCTCAGTCGAAGCCCCTTTTCCCTCGTCGACGAGATCAATCAAGGCATGGACATGCGAGTAGAAAGAATGGTGCATGATCAAATGGTCGAGGTGACGTGCAAGGACGACGCAGGTCAATACTTTTTGATCACGCCCAAACTTCTTTCCGGTCTCAAGTATCATAGACGCATGAAGATCCTCGTCATCAACAATGGCGAATGGTTGCCGGAAAAGTTTAGCTTTGACCATTACATTCAGCGACAAAAGAAGCGTCGCTTCTCTGGCAATGTAGCGGCTCGCGCAGCGGCGTGACAAGGCGTCGTCGAGGATGGAATAGCTCATGCGGAAGACGACGAGCAAGTAGCGCTTGACCTCCCACGTTAATCGAATTACATCACTAGTGCGATGATTCTCGGCTTTGCCACTCTCGCGCGCTAGACGAGTGCCAAAAGAGGTTTGTGCAAGTGGTCTTCAATTCCATTGTCCATTGATAGTGCGTAGCAGAGAGAGACGTGAGCGAGCAGCGGGTAAGGGAGAGCAGTACAATGCCAAGACGCGAGCGGAAGGATGAGCGAAGAGGAGGGTGATGGGCGGTCGGAAATGAAGCAAGGATGAGTCGAGGCGTGGAGCTGTAGCAAGCGCAAGTCGTGAAAAGGATTTCGTTACGAGTGGCAAAAGCAGGACGAAGCACGTTGAAAGGGGGGGGCATGATGGGGGTGAGGGGGCGGCGCTGTTGATCGGTCCGTCGAGCTGGTGGGGCGCATCCACCATTGCGCTGGGAGCTTATCCGACGAGCAGTCTATGAATCATAAAGATGGTGCTCATGCCAAATCTCACGACGCTCATACCTCCGATAAAGACGAGGACGACGATCATGTACACCTTGCTCCTAGTCGTTCCAGATCCAGGGTCAAACGTTCCCACATTATCGCCGCCGAGGATGAAAGCGGCGAGCAGACCATTGCTCAAGCTCCAAAGCAGCAGCACGCTAGTTCTCAGATCCCTGAAAAAGTCTAGTCGCACTTCGGCTTTTGCTTCGGCCGAGGCGTCGCCGCGGATGATCATGGGTCGAGTGCGCAGATTGCTGAGCGCCTTGTCGTACACTAGGTCGATGTCCGCTTGAGCTGTTGGCAAGATCACTTCCACGGTACCTTTGCCCGTAGCCACTACGGCACCCAGATCATTGGCATCCGCCGAGATACCCTTTGTACCCCAAGAGACTGTTTGAGTGCGGGGGGAATGGGGGGGCAAGATGCAGATTGAGCGTTCAGGACGTCACCCAGAGCGGAATCGCATGCACGCATGCTCTCTCTCTCAAAAGTGACTCACAGTCGTGCAGGTTGGAGAAAGCATAAGTGTTGAGGATGTTGACGTAGCTTGGAGCAAGGAGAAGATATTGCACAAAGCTGGTGATGAGATGAAGCGGGTCCAGCGCAATGATGCTGCTAAGCAAGTAGACTCCGTACGTCGCCAGTACGGAAAAGACCATTTGACTATAGATGGCATCGTGCTGGCTATTCTTGACTGCCTTTACCAGACACAGCACGGCGGCTACCATCATGTAGAGCGTCAGTATGGCGTAGATGAGTGCAGCAGCAAAGAACTTCCACGGCGATCCTTGAGGTCTATTACCCAGCGCCAAGATGAAACAGCTGATCGTCGTTCCCAAGTAAACGTACTGCGCGCCCGTGTTGAGGATACCGATTCCCTTTAAGCCGAACTCCTTGCTCTCCAAGCTGGTGGTGAGGAGTCTAAAGAAGATGTAAAAGTTGCCCAGCGACAGCCAAGCAAAGATCAGGTTGACGGTGCTGTACAGCGCTTCTGCATAGAGGCAGCACTTTCTCCAGAACCCGTGTCCCGACTCTCCAAATTGCAGCGTGTGCGTCATAGAGTAGATGGCAGCAAAGAAGGAGCCGTTGAGCCATCTCCTACGTTGAGAGATGAGTTCCGCCAAAGAGTCCGGCACATCCGTAACTCCCTTTGCGCTCTTGACATATCTCAGCACCCATCGATCATTCCTCTTTGCCGCCAATTCGAAGCACAGGATCCGATCTTCGGCCAGGTACATGTTAGCATGGCTAAACGTCACTTCTGCCTGCTTCATCGTTTCTCCCTTAAAGTAACTGGCCAACGGACCTCTTCCCAGCTCATCATTCTGCAAGGCGATGTACCTGTACGCCGAGAAAGCGCCGGGCAAGACGGAGATGAATCCAAAGACGCTCTCCGTAGTCTTGTCGAGGATATTGCTGATCTTGTACTCGAAGTTTTGAGCTGCCACCAAAGGGTTGAGCAGGGCAGGTCCCAAACCCCAACGTCCTCGAGTATCCGCCTGGATCTCGCCACATGCTCCAGCAACGTTGGAATTGAGATCGAACGTCTTCCAAAGGTAGTAGATGGACTTGGCCTCGGGACGGGTGCCCACGTCGAGGAGGATGCAAACATTGGGCTGCAGTACAGGGCCAAAAGCTGCAGCAGGAAGAACGGCAATTAGGACGGCGGAGCGATCAGACGGGCTATTAAGGGAGTCTTGAACTACAAGCAGACCGCTCACTCACCATTGAAGAACCACCTATGAGAATTGATCTGCAGGATCGCAGCGAAGTACTCGCATAAGCACGTGAGCAGACTTGCCTTCGTTGCCCCTCCACACGCACCTTTTTCTGATTCTGCTCCTTCATGCAGAAGATGAGTCTGTGGAGGGCAACAATCGTCAACCGGCGACACGGCCTCGCATGGGTGCACTGCCGAGCCGTACTCACTGAGTAGGTACAAGACCCCTCTCAGCGCCCTTGAACTGCAGATTGCTATCGATGCTGAGCTGCGTCGTATACTCGTACACGTGCGCCTGCACCTGTTTTCCATTGACCGTATTCTTCGCCACTCCTTCCTGATACACGCCTAGCGCAGCCAGACAATCCAACACTCTTGGATGGATCTTTTTGCGTCCATCCGCAATGATTGTGACCACCACTTTTTTCCATCCTTCTGCTCCCCACGTGCGAGACTTGTGCCGCGAACACAGGTGTGCAATGTTCTTCATCACGCCGTGCAGCGTGCGCGTAAACACTGCGCGCGCGAAAAGGGGGCCAAAGAGAAAGCATACGATCCGCCTCAGCTTCTCGCCTCACCTATTTCCTTTTTCTTTTGCCCTCAGGCCCAAGCATCCACGGCGCCTTACTCACGCATCTCATCCTCGTTGTACATCGTCACCGCAATATGAATCTCCGTATGTCGATTGTACATCGCCGGGCGCAAGTTGAAATGCTGCGCCGCAAAATCGTCGGGATCGCACGTGACGGCAGTGTAGCGCATCGTCGTGAACTCTTCCTCTCCTCTGCGCGTCAAGAAGGATTGCAATTTGGTGGGCACGGGACAATCGAGGACGAGATTACCTTGGGTCAATTTGACCTGACGCGTTGCCGGGGGGCAATCAAGGTTTCAGTATGATGCTTGATCCACGCGAGACGGCGTTCGCGTCTCGGAATTGTCCCGCCTGAGCCGCGCTCGCGCCTGCCTGCCTGCCTGCCTGCCTGCCTGCCTGCCTGCGCCCCACTCGACGCGCGCGCGCGCGCACTCACCGCCTTTCTGGTCTTGTTGCGTCTCAACTGAGCGCCTCTTGCAGGAGCAGGTCCAAAGTGCATCGTCTCGGCAGGAGCGATACCCGTCTCTGTCGCCTCATCTGCCGCAAACACATGTTGGTCGTTGCTGTAATGCAAGCCTTCGTAGTTCAAACCGTGCCTCATCATTCCCCTCTCTTCGTCGCCCTCTTCCAAATCCGCCGCGTCCAAGCGCCTCTCCTCCTCTGCATAATCGTAGTCCGATCCGGCATAATGCATCTCCTCCTTCTCGCCATACAAACCACTTGCATCGCCGCCGCTGCCGCCTACTTGATCATAAGGTCCAGAATGAGCATAGTCGTATCCGCCCGCATACCCTCTACCATCCATATCCATCTCCCTGTCCACGACCATGTCCGCATTCGCATTCGCACCTGCTGCTGCTGCTGCTGCTGCTGCTGCTGCACGATCAGCAAAAGGTCCTTCTTGTCGGGGCGTATAAGCG